ATTGGCCATTTGTATATCTCCTTTAGAGAAATATCCATTCAAATTCTTTGCCCAGTTTTAAATTAGATTATTAGTCTTTTCATAGTTGAGCTGTAAGAGTTCTTTACATTTTCTGGACATGAGATCTTTGTCAGACATGATTTGCAAAAATTTTCTTCCATTCTGTGGGTTACTTTTCACTTTCTGGATGGTGTCCTTTAAAGCACTGACATTTTAATTTTGGTGAAACACAGTTTATTTTTTCTTTGATTGCTTGTGCTTTTGGTGTCACATCTAAGAAAATGTTACTTAGTCCAAGATGATAAAGATTTACACTTATGTCTTCTTCTAAGAGTTTTATAGTTTCTGCTCTTGCATTTAGGTCTTTGATCCATTTTAAGTTTTTGTGTATGGTGTGAGATAGGGACCCAGTTAGCTATTTTCCTGTGGTTAACCAGTGTCCCAGCACCATTTGTTAAAAATATCATTCTTGGGACTTCCCTGGTGGTCCAGTGGTTGAGACTCCAAGGTTCCACTATAGGGAGCATGGGTTTGATCCCTGGTCAGGGAACTAAGATCCCACATGCTGCACGGCGTGGCCAAAAAACAAACAGACAAAAAACCATTCTCTCCCCATTGAATGGCCTTGGCTCTCTTGTCAAAAATCAATTGACCATAGATGAGTGGGTTTATTACTGGACTGTCAATTCTATTCCATTTTCTATATGTCTATCCTTATGCTAGCACCATTTACTGGAGCTTTGTAGTAAGCTTTGAAATCAGGGAATATGAATACTCCAACTTTATTCTCCTTTTCAAGATTATTTTGGCTATTCTGAATCCCTTTCATTTCCATATGAATTTTAGGATCGGTTTGTCAATTTCTGCAAAAACGATGTTAGAAATTTGATAGGTACTGCATTGAATCTGTCGATGATTTGGTGGAGTATTGCCATCTACACAATATTAAGCCTTCCAGTCTATGAATGTAGGATGTCTTTCCATTTATTTGGGTTTAAAATTTTTTTTCTTTCAATACTATTTTGTACAAGTGTATGCACCTCTTTAGTTAAACTTATTCCTAAGTATTTTATTCTTTTGATCTTGTTGTAAATAGAATTGTTTTCTTAGTTTCAATTTCAGATTGTTCATTCCTAGTATATAGAAAAAATAGAAATATAACTGATTTTTGTATACTGATATTATTTACTGCAACCTCGCTGAACTGGGTTATTGATTCTGCTAGCTTTTTTTGTGTATTCCTTAGCAGACATCCTTGTCTTGTTCCTGATCTTAGGGGGAATGCTTTCAGTCTTTCATCATTGAGTGTGGTGTTAGCTATGAGTTTTTTGTATGCGCTTGTTGTTAGGTTGGAGAAAATCCCTTCTATTCCTAGTTTGTTGAGTGTCTTTAATCATGACATGGTATTGGATTTTGTCAAATGCTTTTTCTGCATCTGTTGAGATGATGATGTGGACTTTTCCCTTTATTCTATTAATATAGTGTATTACATCGATTACTTTCCATTTGTTGAACCAACTTTGCATTCCTCAAATAAAGTTCACTCACTCATGGTATATAATTCTTTTTCCATTATTTCTCAAGGGCACAGATTTTACTTTTACTTCTTTATATCACCCAAAGCACTCAAGCAGTACTGTACTTGGATCCAAAATTAGTGCCCAAGATACGCAATAATCATTATTATTACCATAATAACCAACATTAACACGAGCACAAGGTGACGACAGTCTGAACTAGAATGATAGATCCAAATGATAAACCTCATTTAAAGAATAAGATAAAAATTAGAGACTATTGGCCATAGGGAATTATAAAGTTTCCTAATATTGTTGGATAATCCTTATATTCCTGGAATAAGCCTTGTTTGGTCAAGATCCTCTCTTCTTTATTTTTAAGAAAATGTTAGTAAAAAGAACATAGCCACAGGAAGAAAAAATTTATCTTAATTGGCCAGCTTGTTGAAGAGTCAAACACGCGCGTAACCAGTAGACAGATCAAGAAGCAGAATATTGTCAGCATCCCATAGGGCCCCCCTCATGCCCATCTCAATTACTATCCCCCACCACCCAACAAGGATAACCACTATCCTAACTTCTAACACCACTGATTAGTTTTGCCTGCTTTTAAACCTTTATGTAAAATGAATAATAGGCTATTTCACTCCACACTGTATTTGTGAGATTCAACTATACCCTTCTACGTAGTTGTTGGTTGTTCCTTCTCCTTGGTGGGTAATTTCCATTTTTTGAATATGCTACAATTTATTAATCCATTCTAATGTTACTGGGCATCTGGGTGGCTCTAGTTTAGAAATATTATAAATAGTGCTGCCATGAATACTCAGTGAATATTTTGTACATGTCTCTTGGTGGATCTAGGTACCTTTTCTACTGGTATATACTCAGGATAGAATGGCTGTCTTGAAGATCCTTTACAAAGATTTTTTTCTATTCATTACAAAAGAGACAATTACATTTTTAAAAATGAACCTTTAAATATAGTGTTATTATTTTCCTCATTCTAGGAACATGTAATTTCTTAAGTGAATTTATTAGCCTATATGTCATGCTCTATTCTGGAATTATCTGTAACTACACCAGCCAATACAGTAGTCATTAACCATATAAAGTTATTGAGCATCTGACATGCACTCTAAGAGTAAAATACACAATAACTTTGAAGATTTAGTCCAAAACAAAGTTTATAATATCTAATTAATAATTTTAAAATATTCACTACAAGTTGTAATGATAGTATTTTAGATATACCGGGTTAAAGAAAACATTGTATAAAATCATATTATTAAAATTAATTTCACTTTTTTTTTTTTTTTTTTTTTTTGCGGTACTCAGGCCTCTCACTGTTGTGGCCTCTCCCGTTGCGGAGCACAGGCTCCAGACGCACAGGCTCAGCAGCCATGGCTCACGGGCCCAGCCGCTCCACGGCATGTGGGATCTTCCTGGACCGGGGCCCGAACCCGTGTCCCCTGCATCGGCAGGCGGACTCTCAACCACTGCGCCACCAGGGAAGCCCTGAAAGTTCTCTTTGACAAATTAAAATTTTATATGTACATCGCTGAAAGTTCTTTTTGACAAAGATCATGCTTTAGGCTACTTTGTACCCTCCAGTTTGGGCACATTGTTGCCAGTGCATGCTTGATAGTTAATAAGTACTTCTTAACTGTTAAACTTTATTTTCTGTTTTTTAGGTTAAAATTCCACATCGCTTAGCTACATGATGATAATATTGGTAAAAGAACAAGAAAAGATAATGGCAAAAATCTGCATGGAAACCGAAAGAGTAGGAATTAGGTATGAAAAATATTATTTGGCGAGATTTTGGTATTTCTTTTACTCTAAACAACTTTCTTGAATTGTAATTCTTTGTAGATTACATGAAGTTTATGTTACGCTTAGTGCAACATGTATAAACAAAGTATTTTAAAAGAGTGAATCCATTTTTATAGTAACAGGGACTTTTACTTGCTAAAAGTAATCGATTTCTCCCTCTCTCTCTCTCCCTTTTGTTTTCTCCCCATTGGCAAAGTACTATGAAACGCTACCTAGTTATAAAGAAGTGGCGCAACTACAAATTGATTATTCATTTCACTGGATATTATCCGAATGAAGAATTGTGGTCACTGCCACAAACCAAAGTAGCCAGGTCCTGCTTAGAGAATTGCTAAATATGATTGTTTCTTGAATTATAATTTTTGCATTATGTAGACTTTGAAAGATATAAAATACTACGTCTCAGCTTTCTTTTAGTGAGAAAAAATTAGTCCTCAAACGGATGGTGGGATCACCTTAAACTTCATGTAACATGAGAAACCTTGACGAATCAGACCTTTGTTGAAGAGTAATCTTTTGGTGGTAGGGAACAGAGACTCATTCGAAGTCACACCCAAAGTCATAGGTGTTTATTGTGAAAGGGTAACTAGAACGCTCTTTGGGAAGTGGCGGGATCCAGTGCAGCCCTAGGGACCTGGATACTCATATCTTCCTGGGGAGCAGGTCTTTGTTGTTCTTAATATACCACTGGGTCTCAGCTTCCTATAGAGGCACTTCTACCACTTCCACCCCCATCCACCTTCTACTTCATCTTTGGTTTTTGCTTACTCCAGTGTTTGCTTTGTGGTGGCCCATTTTCTCTACTTCTGCCTCAAGCTGTCTCAGCTTCAGCCTTCCTGTCAGATAGCTCATTCTCTGTATTCTCCCCTTTCCATTTCCAAGGGAGAATCCGATTGGCTTATCTAATGATCCGAGTCACGGTTTGGTGAGGATTGTCTGTTCCAGGTCACCTCTTAGGGTGATGGCCAGTTTATGGACTGTGTCTCTTGGGTCACATGAGCACTCTTAATCCAATCAGCTATGGTGGGGCGGGGCGGGGGGAGAAATTTGGGGGCAGTTATCTGTGCAACCTTTGTCCTAAGAATAGTTTGGGTCAGTTCTCTCAGCAGGGTCTCGGTTTCCTTTTTGAAGGGACACCAGGTACAGCAAACATGTCACACACATACACACACACAAACACACACTGATTAAAACAAGTTACTAAAATAAAGGATGCATGAATAAAATGATTGAATTATGCGGTTACATGTAGGAAATAATAAAGAGGGGAAGAAATCTATATTGACCGGGACCAACAATTAGCTTTGTCCAAGTAAAGTTTCTTCGCAGTAGAACAAATTGGTTTTCAAACGTGAATTTTCTTTTGCAAAACTGACCATCCTGTTGTCACGTCTGTAGCTTTCTGAAGGCCCCTGCTCCTGGCTTACGTTCCTCCTAGGAGACCTCAGCATTCAGCACGCTGGGGACGCTTTGTTTCCTAAGTTAGGAGAGAGATCCTGGCAGGAAGTCAACGACCAGGATCAGATGCTGGGGTTGAGGATCCGTGGCTCCGAGCGGCGTGGGGGAAAGGCGGCGGTAATCGAAGCTCTGGGCGCATTTTCCTAGAAGCCTCCAGCGCTCCGCCACCTGTCTGGAGTCTGCCCCCGTCTCGGGCATCTCCTCTCTTGAGTTTCCTCCTCATAGGCTTGTCCCTGGGAGTGTGGGCGGCCGCATTCCTGAGCACCGAAACTCTCCCTCCCCTCCCCCCGCTAGCCTTCCTCCTCCTGCACACCAGCCTCTCTTTTCTGCCTCAGTCACTTCCTTCCTCAGCTTCTTCCTCCCCAGTGCGTTGAAGAAGATAACCAGCCCGCACCGACGCAGCCCCAGTTTTCTCGGAAAAGAAAAGGAGGCGGAGAGGTGAGTGATTGCCCTGGGAAGATGTGGCCAGGTAGGTATGAAGGATGGACGGGGGTAGCCGGTGGAGGCCAAGCAACCGGGGGCATCGTGGGCTGCGGGTGGAGAGCCGGGACCGGGAGGGGGCTAAAACGCCTGGAGGGTATAACTGGCCTTGGGCTGAGCGGGTGCGGGGGACCGGGTGGGCGCGCCCCTGCGCCCCGCAACTCTGCAGCAGACTTCCGCCCTCGGCTCACGTGACGTTTTGCCGCCCGGGGGCGGACAGGGCAGGGAGATCCGCAGCGTTTAAAGATTTTTACCGCGGAGCAACGTGTCCGCTTTGCGCTTGGGGAGCCAGTTCCGCAGAGCTGAGCGGGGACGGGCTGGGAGTGAGGGAACAGGTTTCCCCGAGGAATCTGGTGGCCTCAGGGCAGTGGACTCTGCGGCGCCGGCGGCGGGTGCGGATCTGTACGCTCCCGATTCTGTGTGCGGCGTGGGTGGTAGTGAGGGGACACCAGCGACTCGGGGAGCCCCGAGCTGCGTCGCTCGGTTTGGGCGCTCGCTCTCGGGGCGCGCCGGGGGCACACCGACAGCCGGGGAGCGCGGGCAGGCGGCGCTGGCGCGAGACTCTCGGAGACAAAGGCTTCCGGAATGCGGTTCTTCCTGGGGAGGTCGTCCGGGAGCCAGCCGTGCGCCCCGGAGCAGGGGGCCGAACCCCGCGCTCCCCAGCTCTGCACTGGTACCGGTGGTGACCGTGTGATGGCCCGCTGGGGACAGGGTTTTGGGACCCCTTCCGGGCCAGCTCCCAAACTTGGTGCAGGTATGACCAAATATGGAGTATGTGCGCGCCTGCGAGGGGCAGGAAGGAACCCAGTCATTCTTTGACCCGCACCAGCTGCTCGTCAGGAATTGTGAAGGAGGGTAGGGAAACAGTGGCCAGCCCCAGGGTGGAGAGGTGGCTCCTGATTCCAAGATGTCCCCGCTCCAGTAGGCTTATTCCCTGACATTAGAAAATTTCTAGGTATTGCCTCCAAACTTAAAAAAAACCCAAAAACCAAACCAACAAAACAAAACAAAAAAGGAACCAACCACTCAAAGAAAAAAGCTATGAGAGTCCTTAAATATATTCTTAAGCGCATATTGATGGTGGAGCATTTCAGCATATGGCCCAGATGGCCCAGTGCTCCCACATTCCGCTTTCTTTGTGATTCCCACGCACAGTGCCTAATTGGATTCTGTCTCAATTAGAGGGCCCGACTAGCATCTGCCATCGCCTTCTCCTGAGCCTCCCACTGAGGGGCTCTTTCTTTCCCTTAGACTTGCTCTGCCCATGGCTTCTCATTGTTCTTGATCTCGCTGCTTAACACCAGTCCCAGGCTTCTGTCCTTATAAAATGTCATGGGCCTTCCAAGGATTGTGCAACAGCATATTTTATACTCCTTTGTCCTCGATAAATAATCAAATAAAGACGTAAACCATGCCAAATTATGTATGCTAGCAATAGTTTCTAAGCCTGTTATGTTCCCACTCGGAAGGGTCAGTGCAGGGAGCCTTTCTTACTTTGTAAGTGCCTGCCTTAGTAAGCACTCAGCATGTAATATTTCACACAAATACAACCCACTGTTATATTTAGTGCAGTTGGCATAATAACCAGCAAAAAAATAAATAAAACAAAATTTTTAAAAAAGGAGAAGAGCCAGAAGGATGCAGTAGAAATGGCATTTAATTGTGGGAAGCTCCTCGGAGTCAGTTTCATCATCCATAAAATGGGGATAAATAATATTACTTTGTAAGGTTCTTAGGTTTACATGAATTAATGCAGATAAGGAGCCTCAGGTGTAATTAATTACAAAGAAATTCTGGTTGTCTTCCTGTCTTAAAATTGGATGAACATACATCTGCTTAATGTGATCCAGGAATTCACACTACTTAAAGGCGGGATTTCCTCTTTGAGTCTCATTATTAAAGGAGAATTAGGTCTGAAGTGTGTGGCTGGTGGGGGGTGGAAGGAGTGGAAAACGATGTTAAAGAGATAAATATTCAGGGTGGGAGGAAATGAAAGCATCTGAGAATTGGAAAGGACTGTAATCCCCTTGCACATTTCCTTTTCTATTTTGTCCAAGGTGGGCTGATTTCTTCATCAACCCTCACAGATCCATACTACTACTGCAAACTTTACTCACTGTTAGACCGTTTTGATTGTTAGAGAAATTTTGTCTCATATGGCTTTCAAATCTGCCTTTCTGTTCCATCTATCCATCCTACCCAATAGAGCAACACGAAATAAGACTGTTCACACAAGTACATAAAAGGAGCTTTAATTTTTTAAAAAATAACAGCAGGTCTTCTCTAGGTTAACTTTAAAAGTGAAGATTCTTTAGAGTGCAAGTGACAGAAACTTAAGCAAACCAGCCCAAGCCAAACCAGGAAAGATTGGTTCATGTAACTGGAAAGTCCAAGGTCACATACAGACTCAGTCATTGTTATGTGGCTGGAGTTTTCTTTGTGTCAGCTTTATTCCTGGCAGGCTCTTTTCACATTGTAGCCATTTATACAGGGGCTGTGAGCTTATACCTTAAAACCCAGTAGGAAAGTGTCTTTTTACTAGTAGTTCAGGCAAAATTCATGGGCTGAACCCATTGTTCAGGATGGGATCACCTATCCTATGTCCCAAACCAATTATTCTGACTTTGAACCACTCCTGGAGTCCAGGGTGAGGCTCTACCCAAGATACATGGGTTTAGAGTAAGGAAGGAAAGGCTGTATCCAAACAAACATTAGACTGCTGGTGCCAGAAGGTGGAATGGGTGCTGAGCAGGGAGATATAACAGCTGTCCACCACACTGACACTAACAGGTTTTTTTCCTACCATTATTCTCATGGCATGTCTTTCAGTTGTGTCCTCTGGGTATGTTTTAGCTTTTTAGTGTCTCTCTTAAACTACCTTGAATTGAATATAATGTTATAATTTCACCAACACAAAGTTCCCACATTTGGACACTATAATTTTTGATATTCGGTTTTATGTAGATGCATTAACCTAAGATGTTGCCTTTTACTGCAATGTAGGCTTCTTAAATTATAAGATTTACACAAAAGTGTAGCAGTGTAGCAGTGTAGTGGTGCTTTTATTATTAGCTGATAGCAAATCTGGGGTCTTGATCAGTATCATTTAAACATAGATATCATTCTTGTTTTTTCAAAGCTACCGAGAAGTAGTTACAATCTGTCTGAATAAAGTTGTTTCTTCCAAATCATCACCCCAACGTAAACCATTCACACAATCCCACTCTTTTATTTGATTTGGAAAACTTACGATTTGCAGACAGACTGAATTGATTCTTTTTGCCCAGCTGCTCATACTTTCCAACCCTCATGTTGCTGTTTTCACTGTAAATTACTGCCTTCCTATAGAAACTCATTCTTCTTCCTTTACTTCTATACTTCTTTGATCCAACAAGGTTGGGTTTCTCTCCTCCAGCTCTACCTGCACTTTCCTATTTCTTGCTGTGTTTGTCTCCTCCCACTTTCTGTAGGTGTTTGCCAGGCCCCTTTACCTTTTCTGTCTGAGTGCACTTCCTCCCTCTTAGAGCTCCTCTCTGTTCCTCACATAAATCAGCAGCTCTATGGTGACAACACCCACAGGTTGGTTCCATCCCTTCTCATGCCTTTGCTCATTTTCCAGTCTGCAAACCAGTTATGTATTGAACTCCTGCTCTCGGTGCCAGATGTGGTCCACCAGTGAGCACGACAGTCAGATCCCCGCATAGAGGAGCTCACTGTCTAGTGATAAAAACTGAGAAGTGTCATTCCAATCAAGTGAAATGAAGAGGGCGCACATGCTGTGGGAACACACGCGGGAGAGCTCTCCTACCCCAGGGATTCAGGGAGGGCTTCCTGCAGGAAGTTATATCTCAGCTGGGACTGGACGTATGGAAGTTAGCCCCAAGAAAGAGGAATAGCCGGAGTCCGGGTTGCAGAAGAAACAGGATATGTGAAGGCTGGAGGTGTGAGAGTGAGGGGTATTTGAGGAATAAAAAGAAGCCCTGTGGAGCTGCAGCTTCAAGGGGGTAGATTTGAGGTGGCTGGAATGGTGGAATGGTGGGCCCAGCCCGTGGAGGACCTCATGAGCCAAGGGGATTCTCACAGCCGCTGTTAGTCCTGAACTCCTTATCCAAAGATGAATGGTTTTCATCACAGGCTCTCCATTACAGTCAGGTTGCACTGGGCACTGCTGGGGGAAGGGACCCAGAGGTCATCACTGCGCTGACCCCATGGTATTAAAATTGCCTTGGATCCACCTGGATCCGCCTTCCTTACTGGACTGCAGGCTCCCGGAGGGGAGGGATTGTGTTGGTTTATCCTGGTACCACCAGCTTCTAGCTTAGGGCCTGCTCCAAGTGTGCTGCGGTTTGGTTTTGTTTTTTTGCTTCTGTGCTTTTGTATATACTCTTCCCTGTGCCTAGAACATCCTTTCCCAACTGTCTACTGGCCACTCCTCCCCAGTGACAAAAACTTCTGTGACTTCCTCCTTTGTGTTCCCTTAATGCCTTGGACCCACCACTAAAAGAGTGCTTTCTTGTCACATTGCTATTCATTCCAGGCCTTTCTCTGCGTCTGGATGGTGAGTTCCCTGAGGGCAGGTCCTGTGTCACTCACCTTTGTATTTTTGGTGCCCAGAGCACAGGCTTAGAGTTCATAATGGGTGCAAGGAGGATGGCTTCATTCTGCCCGGTAGACTGTGTGGGGTCAGCCCAGAGGGGCAGTTATAAAATTGGGGAAATGGAGGTACTCTAAGGCCGGGTACATCATGCAAGTATTTTTAGGAAGAGGGCCACAGCAAATTAATAGTTACAAATGCTACATGAACAAAAGAAAGGGCCCTTGGATTTTGCAAGGTGTGTTTAATGGAATGTAGAAACTGTAGTAATACACATTTATTTTTTTCTCCCTCAGGCAGCAATGAATGTGGATCATGAAGTTAACCTCTTAGTGGAGGAAATTCATCGTCTGGGTTCAAGAAGTAAGTATTATAACATGGATACAGAATTTCTTCTGAGTTTGTGTTAGAGCAGGTAGGACTAACTTTTAGAGGCATATGAAGGGATCACCTAGGGATTCGGGACACAGTTAATGGCAGCTCTTCTGTCAGCCTCAGGTGATAACTGCTCTTAGCCCTGAAGTGATTTCTGGAGACACAGAGCCACTGGGGTATTGTGTTTCTTATACAAAGAATGGTTGAGATATTTCATTATCCTTTGAATGGAAAGATAATTGCTGTGCTTCCGTAACCTAGCTGCATTGAAATCTTGTAATTAAATCATGTTCACATTTTTATTTGGCACACTATTAAAATTCATTTTTTTCTGCATTACCCTGCCACCATTTTGCAAATTGCCAAAGGAATAGGGACTCAGATTGAAATTTTAATAAAGTGTCTTTATTTTCTCCAAGTTTTTGAGTTTTGTGTAATCAGGTGTTTATGTGTATATAACTAAAAGAAGCCATCCTTTAGGTAGTTTTCTTTTAGAGTTAGCTTTCCCCCTAGCAGCATATAAGCAGCTATTGTGAAATTTGTGACATGTAAAATTGGTAGTATTGGTGTCCTTTTCCTAAGTTGTAATGAAAGCAACTGTTATGCTTGTAGCTATAAGTATTTCGTGCATCTCAGACCAGACATACGAGAGTTTGGGGAGCATTTCGAAAATTGTAAGAGCAGTAGATACATTCAGCAACAACTGGGATAATGGAATCCAAAGTTTTAAAATTACATCATATAAGTGAAAAACAACTTTAAAAAGTACCTTGAAAGAGTTGCTTGTCATTATAGCTTGATTCTTCTTACTTCTAGCTCCGTCTACTTATGAATCACAAATCATTTGAAATAACAAGAGGTACCTTGAAAATTCCATTAAGCCATTAGTATCAAATGTCCCCTGTAGTTTTCTGTTGCTGATGTAACAGTACTACAAACTTTGTGCATGAAGCAACACATTTAATATCTTTTTAAAAAAATATGTTTTATTGAAGTGTAGTTGATTTACAACATTGTATTAATTTCTTCTGTACAGCAAAGTGATTCAGTTATATATATATATATACATATATATATGTATATATTCTTTTTCATATTCTTTTCCATTATGGTTTATCACAGGATATTGAAATAGTTCCCTGTGTTATACGGTAGGACCTTGTTGTTTACCCATTCTATATACAATAGTTTGCATCTAACCCCAAACTCCCAATCCATTCCTCCCCCAATATACCCTCCCACTTGGCAACCACAAGTCTGTTCTCTATGTCTGTGAGTCTGTTTCTGTTTTGTAAATAAGTTCATTTGTGTCATATTTTAGCTTCTACATATGAGTGTTATCATATGGTATTTGTCTTTCTCTTTCTGACTTACTTCACTCAGTATGATAATCTCTAGGTCCATCCATGTTGCTGCAGATGGTGTTATCTCATTCTTTTTTATGGCCGAATAGTATTCCATTGTATATATGTTCCACATCTTCTTTATCCATTCATCTGTCAATAGACATTTTAGTTGCTTCCATGTCTTGGCTATTGTGAATAGTGCTGCTATGATCATAGAGGTGCATGTATCTTTTTGAGTTATAGTTTTGTCCACATTTAATATCTTAATGGTCAGGTAGGTTGGGAGTCTGTCTCAGTCTGTTTGGGCTGCTATAACAAAATACCCTGGACTGGGTGGCTTATAAACAGCAGAAATTAACTGCTCATAGTTCTGAAGGCTGGAGGTCCAAGATCAGGGTGCCAGCATGGTCAGCTTGGAGTCCTCTTCCAGGTCTCAGACTTCTTGTATCTTCTCATGGTGAAAGAGACCAGGGGTCTCTTTGTAGCCTTTTTATCTATCTATCTATCTATCTATCTATCTATCTATCTATGTATCTATCATTGTGGTAACATTGGTTTATAAGATTGTGTAAGTTTCATGTGATACAACACAGCATGCTCTTCTGTTTGGTTTGGTTTGTTCATTTATTTTGGGGGTTTTGTTTGTTAGTTTTTTATATTCCACATATGAGTGAAATCACATGGCATTTGTCTTTCTCTGACTTATTTCACTTAGCATAATACCCTCAAGGTGCGTCCATGTTGTCACAAATGGCAAGGTTTCATCTTTTTTTTATGGCTGATGAAATCTTGCAGCCTCTTTTATAAGACATTAATCCTTATGACTCATGACTTTACACCCTTACACCCCCCATGACTTTGGCACCTCCCAAAGGCCCCATCTACTAATATCATTACCTTGTGGGGTTAGGATTTCCACATATGAATTTTGGAAGAACACAGCCATTCAGACCACAGCAGGGTCTGATAAAGGTCACCTGGGCTAAAATTAAGGTGTTGGCAGGGTGCATTCCTTTCTGGAAGCTCTAGAGAATCTGTTTCCTAGCCTTTTTTCTAGCTTCCAGAGGCAGTCTGCCTTTGCTCTAGGCGCTCAGGCTTCAGTAGTTGTGGCTCGTGGGCTCAGTAGTTGTGGCTTGTGGTCTCTAGAGCACAGGCTCAGTAGTTGTGGCCCATGGGCTTAGTTGCTCCACGGCATGTGGGATCTTCCCGGACCAGGGATCGAACCCATGTCCCCTGAATTGACAGGCAGATTCTTAACCACTGTGCCACCAGGGAAGTCCCTCAGTGAGTCTTATTTTCGATAGTGATGCCCCTACCTGTGTTCCTCATTTCTACATTCTCAGTTTCTCCTGAGCTCTGTCACTCTTGGGAGTAGTACTATTGTTTGGATTGTTAAAGATATTAAAGATATATTTCCAGAGATTTGTCAGGTTTTCTTATTAGATCCTTCTCAATGTCAGCTTAGTGTTTATTGGTCAGATTCAATTGCATTTAAAAGTCTAACCTCTATATCCCTAGCACAGTGTTATTATTTGCTAAGGCAAACTGAACCTGCACTTCAAAATGAGCAGCTTTACAAACTAGATGACTACAAAGTAATTATCCTAACTTCTATAAAGATGAAAATATTTTGAACATTGCAACTTCACTAGGCCTCCTTGACTTACCTGTTCCTGGTAATAGATGACTTTTTAAGTTGGAAAGCATCTATGGAGATATGTTATCTACTGACAGGTTATGGTTATTTATGTTGTATCTGGAATAATTTTGACTAAACTAAATTATGATTTAGATTAATCATATTTAGACTAATCTAAATATGATGTATTAGCCGAAGTTGGAGATTGATGAATTTAGTTTTACCTGTTTCTTTTAAAATAAAGTTCTTTAAAGTCTCTCATTTTTCATCCTGTAGAAAAGAATTAAGTGGATAAAGATTATTTGGAGATTTAAACTCTTTTGTTTAACAAATATTTCTTGAGTACTACCTTTGTGCTCAAGTGCTGGAGATGGGAAAATAAACAAAATTCCATCTCAGCCCTTGCGGGCCTCTTTAGGTATCGAAAAGACAGATAAACTGGAAACGTGTATTGGGAAGTGGTTAAGAGTGTGTGTTCTGGGGGACTTCCCTGGTGGCGCAGTGGTTAAGAATCCACCTGCCAATGTAGGGGACGTGGGTTCAAGCCCTGGTGCGGGAAGATCCCACATGTCATGGCGCAACTAAGCCCGTGCGCCACAACTACTGAGCCTGCACTCTAGAGCCTGCGAGCCACAACTACTGAGCCCACGTGCCTAGAGCCCATGCTCCGCAACAAGAGAAGCCACCACAATGAGAAGCCTGCGCACCACAAAGGAGAGTAGCCCTCACTCGCCACAAACTAGAGAAAGCCTGCGCGCAGCCACGAAGACCCAATGCAGCCAAAAATAAATAAATAAATAAATTTATTTTTTAAAAAAGGAGTGTGTGCCCTGCAGTCAGACTCTGGGAATGAATCCCAGCTCTTCCGTATTCTTGCTGTGTGAGGGGTATTTTTACCCTCCTAACTGCAACTCAGATTGCTTGAAGGACCTGCCAGGTTACCAGCAGCTGCACTGATTCCTGTAATCAGTGAAAGATTCTCATTGCAAACAGAGGGTTGTGCAGCTAGAAGTTAAGAAATCAAACAGGTGCAGGAATTCCCTGTGGACCAGTGGTTAGAACGCTGAGCTTTCCTGCCGAGGGCGCAGGTTCAATCCCTGGTCGGAGAACTAAGATCCCGCAAGCCACGAGGTGCGGCCAAAAAAAAAAAAAAGGGAAATCAAACAGGTGCACCTTTGCTTTCCAGGCCAAGCATTCTCTGTTTTCCTTTACAAACTTATTTCCTTCTTCTCCTCTTAGATGGTTTACTTGCGGTGAGTAAATTAGCCACTCTAATTACTGTTCGCCTAGACACTTAATTGTTTCACCTGTGCCTAATGGCACATACCCCATTTCTCTCATTCGTAATTGAACCAAAGTTAACTGATGAATGGATAAATAAAATGTATTATATCCATAAAAAAATAATTGAACCAATAATGATCATCGATCAAGTGCTTAGCATGTGCAGGAAACTGAGGCTTAGGGAGCTTACATAAAAGTTCTCAAGGCCAAACAACTAGCAGATGGCCAGGATTTCAACTGAGGACTGTCAAGTTTTTTTTTAAAAAAGCTCTGTGTTATACTCCCTTTAAAGTCCAGAACAGGTACTGCCCTTCATGAAGTCTTCCCTTCCCATTCTAGCCCAGTCATCTTGTTCTTGACATCCAATCACATACTGCTTTGTGCTGTTGTTTACTGTATGTTTATTTCCTTGTGGGAATGGAAGCCATTTCTTTGATAGCTAGAAAGTGATTCTATACTTCCTTCTCTCTGCCTCTAGTGCCCAGCACAGGGCTGCACCCGCAGTAGGAGTTTACTAAGCTGCAGGCTATAAGCTCTAGCAGGGGAGTGCAGGAACTCAAGAACCCTTCTCACTGTGATGGCCATCTACTTGACAGGGGGTGCAGCTTTGGGAGGGAAGAACTTGGAGCAGTGAAGTAGGATAGGACTGGGTCAAGGGTTCAGCTTGGTAGATCAAAGGATACAGCCAACAGTTGGAAGGTGTCCTAGATTACCCTTTGAGACTTCAGTTGATTGACTTTTAGCCAAAGATCCACCTTTTGTTTACCTTAATTTAAAAAAACCTTTTTTTTAGAACAGTTTTAGATTTGCAATAAAATTGAGAGGAAGGTATAGAGATTTTCCATATACCCTCTGACCCCCGCACATACATAGTCTCCCCCATTATTAATATCCCCCGCCAGAGGGGTACCTTTGTTACAGTTGATGACTCTACATTGACATATTATTATCACCCAGAGTCCATGGTTTACATCACATTTCACTCTTGGTATTGTACATTCTGTGGGTTGACTAATGCGTAAGAACGTGTCTCCATCATTATAGTATCATAGAGTATCTTCACTGCTTTAAAAATTCTCTGTACTCTGCCTGTTCATCTCTCCCGTATCCTAACCACTGAAAACCATTGATCTTTTTACTTAGTTTTCTTTTTTTCCATAGTTTTGCCTTTTCCAGAATATCCCATAGTTGGAATCATACAGCATGTAGCTTTTTCAGGTTGCTTTCTTTCACTAAGTAATACATATTTAAGGTTCCTCCACGTTTTTCATGACTTGGTAGCTCACTTCTTTTTAGTGTTTACCTTAACTTTTAACATCTATACTAAAAACTGGCCTTCAAACTAGATAATCTAGGGATTCTGGTAAATAAAGATTTCTTCATTTTTAAGGCCACCACTCCTTCCCTGGGGATTCTGAGCATGTTCAGAACACACTTAGAGAAACACTGCTCCTGATCTGGGGTTTCTCTTGTACTTGTTATTTTTATCGATTCAACAATTAAAAAATCGAAATTTAGACGGAGAGGAATTGTCCACTGCAGTGCTGTAACACATTCACTTTTTTTTTGCCACACCGTGTGGCATGCTGGATCTTAGTTCCCCGGCTGGGGAGACCAGGATCGAACCTGTGTCCCCTGCAGTAGAAGCACAGAATCTTAACCACTGGACCTCCAGGGAAGTCCCACACGTTCACTTTTTGTTACTGTTTCTTAGTTCTCATCCACTCTCTGCCCCGATGACACTGAAGCTAGGAGATGTACCACACGTTGCTTTTATTCTATCACATTTTGAATCTGGCGAGAGGTTACACTGAAATTCTGACTGTTGACTGTTAAACTGTAATCTTGGTTAACCTTCAGTTAGATGTTTATGAAAGGTTATGTGTATCTGCCACACATGGTGGCAAGAAACAGACTTTGCATTGGCTAACGTTGTGTTTTCTCAAATTAGATGCTGATGGAAAATTAAGTGTGAAATTCGGGGTCCTCTTCCGAGATGACAAATGTGCCAATCTCTTTGAAGCACTGGTAGGAACTCTCAAAGCTGCAAAAAGAAGGAAGATGATTACATACCCAGGAGAGCTACTTTTGCAAGGTGTTCATGATGATGTGGACATTATATTGCTGCAAGATTAATGTGGCTTGCATAGCTTTGCTTATTGTGGGTTTTTTTGTTTCTGGTAAACTGGAATATTACATCAAAGGACAAACGTATTAGCATAACTTAATGTATTTTTATAGAACTTTATAAACAAAAGGAGAGTCATTTTAGAAGCCTGTCCTTTTTTATATCTTGAAAGTAAATTTATGTATTACACTGTAAAATAAATAAAACCTATTATTTTTTCTCAGGAATCTGGCTGGAAAATGTAGGCAATGAGGCTTTTTTTGATGGGGATGCAAGAGTGTTTGTTTCATAAATCATTGTTAGATAATTTCTACAGATATTTGACATTCTATGAAATCAAGAAGCAAACTTGAAGACCAGCTCCCACAATGAATGTAATGTTTATGTAATAAAAACATGTAACTCTCTTCAAATTGCCTTATTGCCTTATTTTGTCATTTGAGATTTATGTAGCTCTCAGAATCGAGTTTTTGCATCAAGATTAGGTAACTGCAGTAAAAGTTATCTTGATTTGAAGAAAAATTCTCTTAAAACTACAGAATTTAAAAAGTAGGGATGGTTAGTGTTAAGATTTGGCCCTACAAAAAATATTAATTTTGATGCCTATATTGTGCTTGCCACTGGGATAGGGCACGTGCCCCCCAAAATGTAACCTAAAATCTTCACTTTCTAATTGGATTAGTTAGACCCACCTGAAATAATACAGGATTATCCGTGATTGCACGTTGCAGCTTGTAGTACGGAGCTGAAAATGATACAGAATCTCAAGGAGGATAATAAGATCAGTGAAAGGCATGATGGTTGGAAGAGGTATAGAGGAGGCGGAATTTGCAGGATTGGAGCTGATTATATCCAGAGGGAAAAAGATGGGATGGGTGAGAGTGATGACTCAAGGTAAGGCAGAGGGACATGAATTAGCAAGGCACGATCTTGTGAAAGGTAGGATGTCAGGTTGACTGGAATGTTAGGAAGAGAGGTGATTCAGTCTGGCTAATTAAGGTGGGACCTGGGAAGCCAGGGAGAGGAGTCTGGGGAAAAATTGGAGCAGGGAAATTCCATGATGAAAGTGATGTTTAGTGAAGGTAGCTCTGCCACTGGTAACTAGGGTGGACTGTGGAGAGTGCAGAGGTAGTCAGACAAGCCAGCAAAAACATTGCTCAAGAATCTCATGGGGGTGGTGATAATGGGAAGGCAGAGGAAGGATGGAGTCCAAGCACATTTTAAAGGAAATTGAAACTTTGTCACCAGTACCTTTTCTTTCGTGACAGGACCCCAATTCAAACTAGACTAAAGAACAACAGAATTCACTGGTACTTCATGGTCATTACTAACATTTATCAAGCATTTATTATTCTAATCCTCATATAACCCTGTGAGGAAGGTATTATAGATGAGGTAAGAGAGACACAGAAGAGTTAGCTTTTCCAAGTTTACCTAGCCAGAAAGTGGGCAAGTCAGGATTTTGAAATTTGACTCATCTAACTGGCAAGTCCAGGGATGGGATGGAATTCAGGCATGGCTGGCTCCAGGGGCTCAAACACTGCTGTTTAAACACTCTGACTTTCCATGTCGGCTCTGATGACTTCTTTGGTTTATTCTCATTCTCTTTCTACTCTAAATATGTTTCCTGCATATAGATGCCTGCAGGTAGTTGCAAATTCATCTACTCCTAGATTAGCAACTCTAGCAGAGAGAGAATTATATATTAATTATGAATTCAAAGAAAGGAACTCTGATTGGCTCCACTTGCAGCATAAATCTACCCCTCTGATCAATAACATTTGCCAGAGGGATGAGATATCTTGAATGACCTGGGTCATATGCTTGTTTCTGAGTGAGGATTGGGTAGGAGACTGTTCTTCACAGCCTCACCTCAAATAGGACAGGGATAGTTCCCCAAAGGGAAGGATGCTAAGTACATGGGAACAACACAGGTTGAATATAGATACAAGAGATCTTTTGAGGATGAATCCATATAATATATATGTGGCAGAAAACAAAAGATAAATGAGAAGAAATGGTCAAAAGCTACTACTTGTGTGGCCTTAGTAACTGAGAGAATAACGTGTTAGCAGAGATAGGGAAATTGAGTGGAGCGCCAGGGCTGGTTTTAGGGAGAGTTACATTTGGACATGGTGAGCTTGGAGTATCTGGACTGCAAATGTGTAGTAAGCAAGCGAGGATTTGGTTCTGGAACTCAGGTGAAGGTTCAGGAATATCGACAGAGACCTGAGAATTATGGTTCAGGATTGATTTTCATCTCAATTTTGATATGTATAGATAATCATAATTCTGCCTCTATTATTATCTTTAAGTTGAAATTTTAATTATTAGGCATTTAGAAAACACAAAAGACATACAATCTACAGGCTTTGTGAAGGGCTGGGCTGAGAAACTGAAGTAATTTTTTTTTTTTTTTATAATTGCTTTACAATGGTGTGTTAGTTTCTGCTTTACAACAAAATGAATCAGTTATATATATATACATATGTTCCCATATCTCTTCCCTCTTGCGTCTCCCTCCCTCCCACCCTCCCTATCCCACCCCTCCAGGCGGTCACAAAGCACCGAGCTGATCTCCCTGTGCTATGCAGCTGCTGAAGCAATTTTTAAAGGAAAGCAATCTGGGAAACTCACATGTCTGATGGCATTTTTTTGAGAGCAGGTTGACGTCATAGTCAAAGACGTCCTTAAAAAATCTTCAGAAGTTGAAATAGTTACTTAGTTTGTCACTTTGTTAAGTATCTTCTTGGTGAGTATCCAATGAAGTTTCAAAGTTTCAAACCCATAATGACTTAGAATTTGAGAAATATATTCCAGAAAAAATATATCCATGGGGTTATTTAGTTATTTTGAGAAAATTAATAGAACAGCATTCCTATCTACTACTGACATCCATACTATAGTTTTATGTATTTTCCTTTAGATTCAAGATGTCAATTCCTTTGTAACAATTTAATATATGGATAGTTCTTATTTGGATCATGGTCTTAAAATTCAAAATCATAAATTTGATTTCTTTTGATCCAGAATCACAGTGAAAATGCTTTTTCTTGGCCATAAACTGCATTCCAGTTAATCATCTCAGTAATGAGTGTCATTGGCTATAGGTGGATGGGAATTAGAAATTATAAACAAACATTTCTTCATTCTTGCAACAAAAATGTACAGTAACTACTTTGTTCAAGTCACTGTGCTATGCATTAGGTGTTATTATTATTCTCAAAGAGAAGCAAATAATTTGCACAATATGTATTAAATATAGAAGAAGCTTTGGGTAAATGATAGAGGGATACAGGTGCAAATGATGACTTGTTACAGGGTAGACTGGGATGAAGTGAAGTTTGCCTTAAAGCAGGAGGATGATCCGAAGGACTTTACTGGTGGAGTTGTTTCTGCCTACAAAGGTAGAGAAAGGCAGGTAACTTAAGGTAAGGAAGGAAAGAGGAGTATTGGGAGTGAGGCTGGAAAGGATTGGGACATTAGTTTGAACCCTTAAGACAGAAGAAACAATTCTAAGTGTATGTCTTAATAATAGTGAATTACAAAGAACTGTAAAAAAAAAAACTTATATGAAATAATTTGATAAGTACCACTCATTATGAAGTAACTTTAATCTGTAAGATCCATAACAGTGCTATTTTGTATACTGAGATTATACAAAACAATCTATATCTATTGTCTTCAATCTATTGTCTTCAGAGTGAATGACTGTTAATTGAAAAATTGATTAATGTTACCACTTGTGCAAACTCAAATTTCCTTAAGTTCCCGTCATAGAAAATCCAAGCACTCCTTCGTGTGCTGGAGGCACGATTTTAAAATAAGTTACAGAAATGTTGATTTGAGGAATTTGTCTTAATTGAACACTCACATCCCAGATTTCCCTGGTGTCTGAGTTGCTTCCTACGGTTCCAGACAATGAGGGAAAAAAAGGCCTATGGACTGACAGACAAAATACAAACACATGTGATGGCAAAGGAACAAGTCTGCTTTTCTGTGTGGCACGCGGGGTTGACCTCATTAATTAATAGCCTCGTATATCTAGAAAAAGTTAAGAGAAAGGCATGGACCTTTAATTTATTTGTCGTCGGATAATCTTGGAGTTTCCTTTTCCTTAACAAAAGATATAAATAACTCTTCAAAGAAAACTCACTCCTCAGGAACCTTTTATGATAAGAAATCAGAAAAAAGCACATTTTTTACGGAAGATCATTTTATATGAAAAGTTCTCTCTTGTAGCTTTTGTGTATCTCTAGCAGCCTCAACAAAAGGGTTCTTAGATGTTTTTGCCCCTGTAGCTCTCCTTTTAGTGACTGTTGTAGTGAGACACTTTTGGTTGGAGGGAACGGAGGCTCTTCGCTGGGTAACGGGGCTTAACTGTGAGCATGCATACAGGGCAATTAGGAAGATAAAGTAACGCACTGAAATAGGAGACTGGAAAATGCACCACAGCAGGGCTCCTGGGGGGTGAGGGACTCCTAACCAGAGGGCATCAGAATGGCTTTTGTAGCTTTTTCAACATGTAAATATTCCGGAGATTCTGAGTGAATAAATCCGGGTTGGGCCCCAAGCATTTCCACGAAGTAGCATCTCCCAGTCGGATTCTAATGGACAGCTGTGGGAAAGAATCCATCCTGGCTGCCTAAGAGCTTCTCTGTCAACACCACTCAGCTGTGTTCCTGGATCCACTTCGTTCTATTCGATTCTCCTCCTGCTTGCAATTAGCTTCCTCATCCTCTATCTTTTCTCTATCGGTAGCTTCTACTTAAGGGTTAGTTTGCTTCCTCCTTACCTTGATCTACTAGTGTCCGTTCTTGCTGCTGGCTGTCTCATATGCTGAATGTCTGTATGTCTAAATGAAAATGCTTAATATAAAAGAGTAGCACAGTTTGTCCTTATGGTGCCAGACCACCCCATAGGTCATTGGCCAGTTTAAGGATTGACTGGGTCAGCTGCCCACCCCTGGTCCAATCAGCTGTGCTCCAAATGCAGGCAGGGAAGGCACATTGCCTGGAGCTGCTGCGATAGGGTCTGTGAGCTGAGCTGCCTTAGATGTGCCTGTGGATCAGGTAGGCAGTGTGTCTACATTCTAACCGTTTCCTCGGAGATTCTCTGTGATTTATAGTAGAATACGAAAGCAGTAACTTTCAATTTGGAAGATATGACCACCCCTTTTAAGCATAAAAAATATTTCCTCTACAGGTTAGTTGTACTTTTAGTATTCATGATTAAGAAGATACATAATACAAAATGCGTAATACAAAAGATATAAAATACAAAAAACTACAATTTCAGCAAAGATTTTTAAATAAGTTTACATTTTATTACTTGTAAGAACAGTACTTACACTTTAAAGATCATAATACAGTTATTTACATATATAAGATACATCATTTTTCCACAGAAAATG